CATGTCTCTTGACCAAGCAATGAGCTGGTGCCCTGACAGGGAGTGACAAATCAGTGAGGTATTGGCGGATAAGTGCAATGCAGGCATCAAGGTGTTGGGCAGAGGGGGTCATGGGTATCTCTATCTTAGGCTTGGAGTTCTTGACTGTGGATTGAAGGTAGGCCGGATATGGCATTGTTCATGGTTGATGTCCAGCAGGTTCAGAGTGTCTAATGAATTCGGGGGATGGTGGGAGAGACCATCTGGACCAGTGTGTTTTTTGGCAGGGATGTGGACAAGGTCAAAGTCAAACTGGTGTATCCCACTAACCCATCTGTTGAGAGCTGCTGCAGGCTGCTGGTCCAGATTATTCAACATCCCTTTGATGCAGGATGCATCTTGTCAGGGCACCAGCTCATTGCTTGGTCAAGAGACATGACTAAGCCTTTATGACATGGAAGTAGCTGGTATACTTTGGCATGTGCTGGAACCTGCTGGAAGGATTGGATGGTCAGGTGACCTGCTGTGCATGGATGTGCATGACCTCATCCTTGGTCATATGACCTGATCACCTGACTAGGCTGAGTAAGCAAGATGTTCTAGCAGGTTCCACCACAGAGGTATACATATAAGGCCTACTCTGCCTGGGGACTGTCTCTTCAGACTTGGTCTCTTAGGATCATCCACAGGTACCTATACTGTAGATAGGTCTTAGTCATCAGGTCTACTCCACTTCCTTGTTGCCTGCTTAGACTCTTGGCACTCTTAGGTGAGCAGACTTAGTCAGCCTGTGTTGCCCTAACAGCAGACCAAGTCTCCAAGTGACAACCTCTGCTTCACCACTCCACCTCTACTCTTACCTGCCTTTACTCTTACCACACACACCCAACACCTGCCTTATTCCATATCCACCATTATGGAACAAGCAGAAGAATTCCCTGATCCCATTTCTATTCTTCAAGCACAGGTCCTAGAGCTGACTCAGCAGCTCCAACAGCTTATGACAGCTTCCTGGAGTAATCAGCCTACAGCCCCTGTGTCTAATCTCCAACCCAATAGTAACTATGACACCACTACCTATGGGGACAATAGTCATGGAAACCAGAGTCATGACAGCCATTACCATGGGGACCAACATCATAGCACACTGTTACTATTGACCACCCTCTCTTGACA